GCTAAGAAAATGTTTATCTCCCTGAGCCTGGCCTTCATAATTCCATTCCATCACACCCACCCAGTCATTAGGCGAGGATCCACCCTGATCCAAGCCATTCCCGGCTTGGTCCCTTCCCAGCCCCAAGCCTCAGTAAGGTAAGTGACTGCCTTCTCTTCAGTTCCCTCCCCCGCCTATCTACCCCCCATCTCTGCCCTTCTGGCCACACTGCACGTCTCTGGCTCTGCTGCCTTGCACTCCACTGGCCCTACCACCCTGCGCTCTGCTGACCCTGCCACTCTTAAAAACAATTACTTAAGTATATCTTAAGCAGGGCGGCAGGGCATGTGGAGCACAGGGCAGCAGGACAAGTGGAGCACGGGGCGAGTGGAGTGCACGGCAAGTGGAGCACAGGGCAGCAGGGCCAGTAGAGTACAGGGCGGCAGGGCTGGCAGAGGCAGTGGAGTACAGGGTGGCCAAAAGGGTAGAGATCAGGGGAGACAGGCGGGTGAGGGGAGTTAAAGCGCCCCTGTGGTTGTAAGTGCAGGCGGGCTGCCAAGCACCTGAATTTTGATCACATGACCATGGGGGCACTGCAGCGGCCATAACTTTTAGGGACCATGTGTAATTACCATTCGTTCAGCGCAGCTGTAACTTTGAACGGTTGCTGAGCAAATGGTCGTTAAGCGAGGACTACCTGTAGTGCAATAGTCTGAACCAACAGTCTGAAGAGTAACTTGCCCGTTAGCCAAAAGTAATGACTTGCCCACTAGCCAAAACTGGTGGCCAGTACCTGAAAAATCAAAGTCAAGTGCAGATCCAAAGGTATCTCTAGACAACAAATCTGCAGCTTCTGGATAAGTACTAATAAAAATGAACCCCTGGATCTGAATTGACTATCCAACCTTTTATAAATTAGGCTTTGTTTGCCCACCACCCCTTCTCAAAAACTAACTTGAGATTTACATAGACTCTCTTGGCTGTGATGGAAAGGACAGAATGAGAAATGCTATCCTTTCTCATCTAGTCAATAGTCCAAATGATAGCATGAATTATCAGAGTAAGAACAAACCACGTACCCTCAAGCTTCTTTCTCATTTCATGCACCTAACTTTAGTGTTCCTATGCTGAGTTCTTGAAACTACAAGAAACTGTACTTTAACGCAATTTACATGGACATGAAATGGAGGGTTGGTAACAAGATCACTATTATGACAAACATACCGCCGCAACAAGAGAGTGAGAGGGTTGAAACAATGTCTAAGAACTTGTAATTTTTCCTAACTGCTATCCCCTCACAGAACTTTTGTCCCAGCCATAGTACAATGTGGCCTACTCTGAGATTTTCTACACTGGTAAATTACCAGGGAAAACAGGAAAATAAAAGCATATTTGCTTATATGACTTCTGCATTCAACTCACTATTTCCTTTGTGCAAAATAAGGAAATATCACATTGATCAAATACTTCATTCTGATTAGATTACCCAAGAATCTTTTATGTTATAAATGAATATTTAAACTTGCCTTGGAAGGTTGTAGAACAGCTGTGGAGTCAGGAGGACTTTTTGGTTTTGGAATACTATCAATAAGTTCCAGAATAGATTTCAATTTCTCATCTGAGATATTGAAAGAAAGTAATGGCAGCTCACCAAACATTTTGTACCTAAAAAGAAATAACTATTAGAAAAACAAAATCCAGCCAGGCACTTACTACAGAAATCAATTAATTTGATACATTTTTACTAGAGATGTACAAAATTCTATGATTTAGGAATATTCCCAAATTACTATACTTTCCATATTCCTAATTTATATCTTATTCTTTAGTATAAATTTTCTAAAGCAGGCAGGCAGGCAGGCAGGCAGGAAGGAAGGAGCAAGCAAGCAAGCGAGCAAGCAAGCAAGCAAGCATCAAAAAGAGTATCTTGACTTTCATACAGCTTTTGACAATTTCCCTTACCAAATGCTTTATTTATTTTTCAAATTTATATAGCCACCCATCTCATATATATGACTCTGGGCAGCTTACGAACAATTAAAACAAATTTTAAAACAACAAAAAAGAACAATACAACTATTTTAAAACAACAAAAAGTAACAGCCTATAAAAACCATCATAAAATACATAAAACTCACAGCCCATAATTGCATTCATCAAAACAATCAGTATAACTATTGTACCAGCTCCACCACGTTTCCATGTCCCCACGCCCAGTGCCCAAACCATATCTTCGGGGCCTTACCCAGCTTTAAGGTAAACTTGGGATAAAAATATTAGTCCTACTATGGATAGGCAACTGGCTACCTGGGACTGGAAACAAAATAAATGGGCACTTTTCACAGTGGAATACAGAAGGTTCCCTCAACATCTGTACTGAGATTATTTAACATTTATAAATAATCATGAGTACTGAGAGAGTGAATTCAGTGATTGATACTAACTTAATGAAAAACTGTTCATGTGCCACTCCAAAATTATATCCCCAAATGCATATATATATATACCTCTGTACAACTAACAACACAGCAGAATGTTAAACAGAATCGATATACTACAAACTAAAGGTTTTAAACACTAGGTAGTCAGTTCCAATCATCTCTATCATGGAAGAAACAAATTAAATACATTTTTGTCCCAATTCAAAAAGCTGTCCATGCAATTTTTGGATTATCCAACACTTACAGTCACAACCATGATTCAGTGGTCCTAAATATATTTAAACTAAAGGGCTGTACTACTGCTCTACAGTACTGCAGGTCTGCCACTGTAAAGAAATGCCCTCTCTCCTGGGGTTCTGGAAAGCTTTGAAAACCTGGCTTTTGTTTGTTTGTTTATTATGATGATGATGATTGGTTGCACAGTCAGCCAGATGTTTAGACTGGATTTGGCATTTTATCTACCTGTCGAGTCCTTCCCAAGGACCTGTGATAGGCAGATGCTGTTTGATTGTGTTAAAGGTATCATTGCAGGATGTAAGCTGTTCCAGGTAAAGGTGCCTTTTGCAACTGACTGATAGCGATTTTATCAATGCCGATGGTTTTCAAGTGGTGCTCCAGATATTTTGGAATTGCACCTAAGGTGCCTATTACTATTGGTACTATCTTTGCTTTCTTTTGCCATAGTCATTCTACTTCTATTTGCAGGTCTTTATATTTTGTGATTTTCTTTGCTTTCTTTTGCCATAGTCATTCTACTTCTATTTGCAGGTCTTTATATTTTGTGATTTTCTCCCAGTTCTTTCTCTTCTATTCTGCTGTCTTCAGGCATTGCAATGTCCACTATCCAGACTTTTTTTGTCTTTCTTATCAACAATTGTTAAGTCTGGGGTGTTGTGTGGCAGGTGCTTGCCTGTTTGAATTTTAAAGTGCCAGAGCACTTTAGCTT